CCTGGACATCCTCGGCCGGGCCCTCGTCGTCCTCGGGCGGCCGCTGAGTCCTCGCTCGGCCGCGGCGCCCACCTGCGGCCCCGCGGAACGGCTGCGTGCCGCAGCGGGAACCCCCCGCGCGGGGCGGAGGTCGCGCACACCGGGAGGTTTATACCGGCGGACGCTTCCTCCCCGCCGCGGCTGGGCGCCGCCATGTTGTACGGCAGGCGCCAAGAGACGGGCGGTGAGGCGGTCCGAACCGTGCAGCAACGGCCTCTTCTCCTCCCCGGCGGCCTTCGCTGCCGCCTGAGCTCCGGCGTGCAGCGGCCTGCGCCGCTACGGAGCGATAACGTTAGCGGAGCCCGGGAGGAGCGCACGGCGGGCGGGCGCGGCGAGCGGGCACGTGACGTCAGGCGGCGCCGCGCTGGCGGCCGCCATGTTGGGGCGCTCGGGGCGGCCGCGGCAGGCGCATCCCCCCGCAGACCGCGCGGCCCGCGCCGCGCCCGCGAGCGCCCGCCGCCCGCGGCCTTCCCGGCCCGGGTTGCCCTCCTGCCTTGGGTGCCCTCTTCTCTAATTTTTCTGGTGGGGTATCATCGTCACTGATGCGGGGGCAGCTATTTTATAGCACAAAGTTGGCATTTAGCAGGCGGGTATCCGAGCGGTGCAACAGAGCTGCCGAGGGATGTCTTTGGACAAGGATCTCCACATAGAGCCAGTGTTTTTCCAGCCAGTCGAGGAATAATGGCATTGTTTCCACACAGGAATGCAGCACGTGCCTTGCGCTGCCAGCTGGCCGCGGCCTCTCCTCCCGCCCGCTCTGATGGGGTGTCCCAGGCAGGGCCGAGCAGCCGGGAGGGAGGTCTTGGAGCGGGGGATTAGCCCGGCACAGGATGCAGGACGGTGCCAAGGAGCCCCCCTGTTGGGTACCGTGTCCTCCCGCTCGCCCCAAGCACATCCATCTATTGCTCTGGTTCACACGGTGCAGAGCGAGGGCGCTGCCAGGCAGGATGGTCCCACGTTTCCCATTAATCCTGACTGACCGCTCACAGCCCGCTGCCGTGCTGGGGCATTCCTGGCATTGCCGTGCTGGAGCGTTCCTGGCATCGCAGGCTCAGAGCATCATTAGGGAACTGATCCAGCTGTGAAGTAACCCAAGGGAAAACATGAACATCTGGCAACGCCACGGACTTGCTTGGGAGCACATGTAACTGAGGCCTAAGTGCCCCAAAAGAGACCCAGTGGGCCTGTGTGGACGGACTGCAGGAGCTGCCAGTCCCGGGGGCGGCTTAGGTGACTTTTGTGTAAGACTCAGGGAGCTCAGAACAGTGAGCCATTACTGAACACGTTTGAAAAGTTTAGATCATAGCAGGAGCTGCTTGTAATAAAACTGACATCTATCCAGAAATCAGGATTAGGCCGGTCTTTCTTTTTATAAATTGCTTATTTTAGCTTCTAAGGTAATAGGAGTTTTGTTTAAAGAAATAAAAGAGAGAAAAACAATAAAGTACTGCAGCATTCATTAGACAGTGAAAGTCTCCTACCAAAGATAAAATACAGTAGAATCCCTGAGTCTGGCTTCTTGACCATAGCAACACTATCTTCTTGCTGGAATGTAAAGCTTTTATTTTTCATGGTACAAACATTGTCCTGTAAACACAGGTCTCTAACTCTTTGTCTTGCTGCCTACATGGCCATTTATTCAAGTATAAAGATTAAATTAAAAAAGAAACGCAAGCAACTGATTCATGAGTGCACTCTGGCAAAAATGCAAGTTCCTCAAGCCTGGTGGGGGCATCGCTGAAGATGAGCAGGTAACCAAGTGAGTAAACACCAACTGCTGGCTCAGTCTTATTTATGAGAAGAAATCTGTTGCGGCAGTTCACTAGAAGCTTTTACATGGCAAACAGCAGGGCTGCCTGCCTGTCTAAGAAAGACTTTCCTTCCTCTCGCTGTAGCCTGATCTGAGATCTCTGCAAAGAGATCTCAGTCAAAAGGTCCATTCTAAGCCTGGTTTTCTATGGGAAAAAAAAAAAAAAAAAAAAGGCTTTTGCAATTACACCGTCTGTCAGTGTCTGTGAATCCCCTTTCTTCTCACCTTTCCTTGCCAAAAAAAAAAAGAAAATGTTTAAGCCGTTGCCCATTTTAATCAATTTCTTTACAAAGAGATAGAGGTTTCAAAGATAACTTCTGTGAAATTCAAGGTATAGTCAATGAAAGAGACTGTAATCATGCTGTCACTGATAAAACAGCAACCGTGTGCATGGAGTGCGTAATACACATTAGAGAATCCACACGGGGAGCAGGGGCAGGGGGTGCCACATCAGGACAAGTCCATAGAAAACCAGGCTGCACTTGTTCTGCTGATCACAGAAAAAAAAAAGAAATGTATTTGTTATAATCACATTAGCTCATCCTTTAACAGGGAGAAGACTGCAGTAAATGACTCGGTATTGAAAGGAAAATCAATGATAGTGGAATATCAAAGGGAAGAGGCTCCAGTCAAGACTTCAATTGCTGTTAGCAGACAATGAGCAGAGCTGCATGAAGTCCCCAGCAGCTCATTAATAACACTCTATTTGGGGCCTCATCCCAAGCTAGATAAAAAAGCCCAAATTACATTTTAAAGTCATTTTCACTCCTAATGTGGTTGCTCTTCCTTGTGTCAGTCCTAGCCAGCCCATAACTACATATTCCAAAAGCCACTTTTGCATAGATTTGTTTTAATGGGGTTGATATCAAGGAGGCAGTAGGACCGCTTCCTTCATCAAAAGCTCAGAATAAGGTTGGTCTAAATCAATTGTGCAGCTCCACCTCCACTAGAGGTGGGGTTTCACATTGCAACACTATGGATAGTAACAGTAGGATAAGGTTTACCTCCTATGGAAGGGGCAAGCCCACTTCCCTCTTCTGCCTGTGGGCATTCTCCTGCTGCCCCGCTTCCGCAAATACCAGTGTCTGTCTGATTCCAGGAATTAAGCAAGCAAAAAGCTAACACAGCAGAAAAATAAGCTTTCCTATTAGCTTATTAAACCTTTCTCTGGTTTAACTCCTTCACCAAAGAGCCAGATCTCAGCCAAACTACAACCTAAGCCAAAAGATGATTCAGCTGTAACTCCCTGCAGTGATCTGCCAGAGTTTGCAGGTGTTGTAGAAAATCTGAAACTATAGTTCTTAGAGATGTGAACTGCTGGAATGATCCTACGAGGATGACGCATATTAACATTCATCAGCATCAATGTATTTCTGTGTTAATTACAAACTGTGTCTTTTTATGTGAAAAAGCAGAAAGGCATCTCACAGCTCAGGGTCTTGAAGAGCTGCTCAAGTTCCCTCTAGTTCATTTCCAGGCAACACAGTAAAATGGCCTTACATTTCCTGGCTACTGAGAGAAGGGGACATCCCCCATCTTCCCCAACTCTGCTCCTCGGTGTGCCCTCCTGTTCAGCCTATGCTGATTTTGGCACTCGCTGGACTGCTCTGTGGGCCGGCTGAACTCAGTAAAATGGTGGAGAAACAGGCCCAATGAGTAGCAGCATCATTAACAAAGAAGGGGACAGGGATGCATAGCCAGGATGAATAGAGCCTCCTTCGTTAAGCAGCCACATGTCATTAGATTGGTTCAGGTGCATGCTAAAACTGCAGCTTTAGCTGAACATCCCTGGGGGGACATCTGAGAGAACGCTGCTTTCTCCTCCCACCTCTCTGGTCTGTGAAATAAGTAAAAGGAATAAAGTCCAGAAACCGTCTATTTTCCACTATGAGGAATCAACTCCAGAAGCAAAATTAATTAAAAGATATGACTAAAATATGACACCCTTTTCTTGGCTCACCTTCCTCTTACTTTTGACTAATTCCCCTCAAAATCAAACAGGTTAAAAAAAAAAAAGGAATAGCCTTGACACCCCCCACACACTTTCTTCTCCCATGTCTGTCTCATCTGCAGACCTTACTACCAGTGTCTGAGCTTCTTCTCCATTTCCACTTTGCCTATATCAAAGCGATTCAAAGGCATAATAAACCATGTTTCACTTAAAATCTTCTTTTTACCTATTTGAGCCTCCCTTCCAAGTGTTCTGTGACAGTTTCTCCTCATGCTTTCTCACAGAGCTGCATCCTTGGTCTTCTCCTTCTGTCCTCCCACATCTCTCTCTGAGTTGCCTCATCTGAAATACAAATACAACTACCGTCTCTGCAGATGATTCACAGATCTGCTCCTTTCCCGAGAGCTATCTCCTTCTATCCCAACTGAAATCACAGCATTTCTTTCTCTTCTGACGATGACTAGCAGGAAGCTAAAGCTCAGTGGAGCTAGAGCATGGCTCTTTCTCTTCCCTCAAAGTCTTTCTTATTATGTTCTTTGTTGATATCTGTGGGTAACATCACCACTTTATCTGCCACTGAAGGTTTTATGTCAACTGTCATCTCCGACTGGGACCTCCCTATAGATCCTAGCATCCAGAATACACCTAAATCTTACAGATTTCTATTCTACAGCATTTCTAATCCCTTTTATCCATCCTTACAGTCCCTTTTATCCATCCTTACAAGTAAGGACCTTGCTTAGGTCTTTTGTTTCCATACTTAGACTGCTGAGACACCTTTCCCTGCAGCATCGACTCATGCAGCTTGTAACACAGCAGCCATTAACTGCTGTAAATGCCACGATTTGACAATACAGTAAGGCTGGCCGGAGGGCTCCTATTAATGACCAAATATGCCACAGCCACCAGATACAAACCACTAATGCAATATTAATTCACTCTGGCAACTCAAATTTGTTCAGAAAAACATGTTGACAGGATAACTTTGGACCAACAGACATTAATGCCCGATCCACATCAGCTTAGTAGTACGGGGAATTTTGGCTGTGCACAAACCTGGAATTACTGACTGTTAAGCCACTGAATGTTTACCTAGATCATTACTCTGACATTACCTGCTCATCTTAATTTCCAGAAGCCTCTAAAGAGTCACCTACCTATCCATTACTTTCCATTTTGTTTTCAGGTGTTGACTCCTCCCCTCTATTGTCCCCTTGTTGATTTTTTTTTTCAATCAAAACATCCTTGTCCTTTATTCTCTGCTGCTTTTGAGGTGTGGGAGGAGACTATAAACATCCTACAGCATTAAGTTGCTTGATCAGTGGTTAAAAATAGGCTCAGACTCACTCTGCATGGTCTCCAGTGTGGCCAGATTCAATCCAGTTTCAGTGTAA